CCCCAAAACCCCAAAACCCCAAAACCCCAAAACCCCATACTGAGTTAAAATAGTTGAAAACTTTTAAATTATCTCCAATTATATTTCAGTTGTAAACGCGGTGGGAATTTGTCTACTTTTCCTCTCAAAACACCTGATTATACTCGTCTATGCTGCAGGCTATTATGAGCTCTTCTTATACCTTGGAATTCTTCTTTTCTCCATTTTCTGATATTCAAGTGTCACAGTTACCCCCTCTTAGTCTCTAAGTGTGAATAAAAGATCCACAAGTAGACTTGTTTAAAGTGGTCTAAGATTTTTCGTTCAATCTGTTCTTCGAAACTGATAGCACTAGATAAAATTTTGAGAAGACTAAGAAAAGCATGGTTAACGAAGAACGGGATTGCTCCACTTTTCTTTCGGGTAGGGAGGTTTCTATTACACTGATCGGTGGCATGGTAATAATCAAGCAATAGTAGAATTGGTAAGCGAAGTGTATTTAAGAGAGAAAACTTTTTGGAAGTTAATAAAAATTAAATATGAAAAATACAAACTATATCCAACAAGAAGAAGAATTTTGGAAACTTGAAAAAGGGGTTTTCTCTGGCCAAGGTAAGTATTTCTAATTAATTAAAAGTACCTTAAGCTAATTAAGCTACCAAATACTTTGTGGGGTAGTAACTATATTTTTCAAATCTGATCTTAAAAAAGTAGAAATAGTGAATAACTTGATAAATAGGAGTAACGAATACAGTCGGAGAAAGCCTATTTGAAGCTATTGATTTCTGAGAACCTCGGCAAGATGATCAATATCAAATCATTAAGAATTCTAATGATTATGGTGATATCCCTAATTTTATGGAAGGTACAACCAATTGGCCTCAATCTAAATCAGAGATATTTGCAGTGATGGAAGATCCCTTTTGTAAGAGAAATGATATCGATTTGAAACCTTTGTCTCAAGAGATTTCTGAAGATATGCACTCTTTAAAAATGCCAAACTTAAGAAAAGGGAAGAGGTGGGGTAAGAAACAAGATAAAATCTTATTCCATACAATTTACCAGCTTGAGAAACAAGGGTGAGGTAAACTAAGTGAACTTGCCGAACTAGACCCCCTTGACGCTCACTTAAATCCAATGGTGTGAAATCTTACTCAAAAGTTGCATTGGAAGAGTTTACATAAGGATCTTTTGAAAAGAATTCAAACAAAAATGTCGACTCATTTCTCTCATAGAGATATTAAGTTAATGAAGAAAATTATTAAAGAAGATTATGCCTACAACGACCTCGATTACGAGAGGATCTTTTATGATTTCCCAGGGAAGACCATGGAAAGGGTCACTGAGGTTGCCAATAAAATCCTTAGAAGCAAGAGGAGGAAGAGATTAAGTAAGATTGATGGCAATAATCAAGGTTAATGAATTAACAGTGGAATGGAGTTACAAATTTTAACACTTTTCAAAAATCTTCTTGGGTTGAGCTGGGGGTGGGTAATTATGGAATATGTTCATTATCTATTGACATTGTTAGTAGTATGCGATTCCTTTCTTTCTATTAATGCTTAATTTTACCTAAAATTGAAGCTGAACTAGAAAGATACTATGCATGTTATTTCTGGTCAATATATCAAAATAGAAGAAAATTATCTTAATTGTATTTATTTTGGGTAGTAAATCTACAATTGATGATTGAGCTAATTTTAATCATCGACAATAAAAGATTAAAGATATTTCTTTCTATTGAAGCCTCTTTCTTATAACCTTAATATTTTTATTCAGGAATACTTCCAACTTTTCTATTTGGAACAGTATCAGAAAAAATATGTTGAATATTTAAAAAATCTTTAAATAAATCGGCAAGCTCTTAAAGGTGTGAATGATTATTCTACATCCATTATTATGTTAATAATATTATTTGGACTAATTATGAATAATTTCCCCACTTAACTGCACCAATCATTTGTATATCTAGAAAACTTATTCATTGATAGTAAGAACAGAATTGTAGAATTAATATCTTAGTACTAATTTAGGACAAAACATAATATGATTAGACAAACAAACTCTATGGCCATCTTTTAAACCTGATAAAACTTTCCAATCAATACATAACAAATGGAGTTACAAATTTGTTCAAATCAAAAACAGATTCTCAAATTGCACAGAATAGATGGCAATTTCACGCTGCAATAAGAAACTATTTTAGTATCTTCTTCTCATCTAGATCCCTTCTTAGGTGAAATTTACAAGTTTTGAGGTTGATCTACCAGCAGCATTGCACTCAGAACTTTTATAGATCTGAGGCTTCAAAGAGCTAAGTTTTACAGAAAAATAGGGTAATTTTATTCTCTTTCATTCATTCTGAGTAAATAAAATTAATGTAAAATGTAATCCCAAAGTTAAATGCACCGATTGCCAATTTTCCAAAAACTTTTTATTCTGGTGAAAAGAATTGGTGTAATCGAATAAGTTGTAAAAAGACTATCCATCATCAGAAATGAAGTATTCCCAACTATCCAAGGGCTATAAGCTGCTATCAGCCAAACGTGAGGTTTTCTTTAGAAATATTCATCTTTATCCAATTTATGCCCAGCTAAAGAAGTTGTCAAATTTCCTTAAAACTTTCCCTTATTAACCACAACTGATCAATTGAAGGCAAATTGATGTTCTTAGTTAATATTCTAAAAATTAGAGGTTTTGGAGATTCACCGTAATTATTTCAGGGTTTACTAAATTCCAACTTTCAATGGTGACCGAGGTTAATGGGGTTTTGGGGTTTTGGGGTTTTGGGG